CTGGATTTGAACAAAATGTCTTTCTTATTTATGAGCTGATCTCAAGGTTGAATATTTCAAAACAATGCTTTATTCTAAAATGTCAACTCATTCCTTTCACTGCTGATGAAATGACCCTTCTTACTAATCTACCAAATAAAGGAGAAAAAATATCCTGACTTTCCTTAGCACATACTTCAGTTACCTCATTTATTTAAGAATTTGAAGAGTTTTTGAGACTGTTTGTATTCCCCTCTTATGTCTATAAATAGCAGATGTTTTGTGGCTGTTTTAGTATGTTATGTGAATGCTTTTTGGAAATGTAAACCTGCGGGTTTGGTTGGAAAAGGTTGTGAGCTTGTTCAATTCTCCTTCTCATCTCCTCTAGGAAAGACTTGCGAGTACTTTCCACCCTTCTTCTCGACTTCTAACCTCTTTCGTCTCTCCGCAAGTACCACCTCACATTTATCCTTCTTCTAATGGATGAAAGCTTCTTTAGGTGTTTGTTTTGAAGTCTTAAATTTGTCAAACGTTTGTAAGCGTCAAAGTTTGTAAGAGTCTTTGTTTGTAAGTCGTTTTATTATATAAAGTTGTGTTTTATAGTAAAAAAAAAGAGTGATATATGAATTTTTGAAAAGAAATCCTTGGGATTTTCTTGGAGGAGCTTGCGAGCTTTGTCCACCTTCTTTAATCTCCTCTAGGACTTGCGAGTTCTTTCCACCCTTCTGCTCGGCTTCTAATCTCTTTCGTCTCTCCGCAAGTTTACACCCCACCTCTATCCTTCTTCTTTTGGAAAGCTTCTTTAGGGTGTCTTAGTTGAGTCAAGTTTGTAAGTCTTTCATTTTATATATCAAAGTGTCTTTTGTTATTATGTTTCTAAGTGTTTTTTTTTATTTGAAATGTAAGAGTTTGTTCATTCTATTACCTAGTGAGTGTGTTCTTATTTTTGTGGGCAGAGATCCGGGTCCCCCCCCCCTGATTTTTGCTCGCATCATTTTTGGTTCATGGGTTGGCTTATGGTCCACGGTTTTGGGGCCTATGGTGATATGTGGAGGAGGTTGGTTCGTTGGAGTTCAGCTCATTTTCTTAGTTGCTAGCTCATTAATGATGAACTAAAGTTTAGTAGCTCATTAATGTTCTAAAGGTAAGCTCATAAGTTGGATTCATTATTGGAGTGGTCTTGTCCCTTCTCCTCCCCTTTTCTTCTTTAATATTTATCTTTGTTCCCATGGAATCTCGTGCTTTTTGGGCTCCCTGTGCTTGGTTGATTTTCCCGTACCATGGCTCCTGTTTTTCCGGTTGGCTGCTTGATTCTCGTAGCTGGTGTCTTTCCATGTCTTTGGCGCCCTCGATTCTGTACGAGCCTCTTTGGTCCCCGTTCTGCTTCTTCTGGTTCCCTGAGTCGGTCCTGTCATTTTCCGGAAATGCTTTTGGGGAATCTACGGATTATAATGCTGGGTTCTAGTGGAAAAATTCAGTAAAGTGGTTGTTTGTAATTCCCCTTCTTACCTATAAATATACGATGTTTAGGATAGCTGTAAATATTGGAGAGCATTTTGCTAATTGACCTCGCGGATTTTGGAAAAGCTTGCAGCTTGTTCCATTTTTCTTCCTTTCTCTCGAGGAAAGACTTGCGAGTGCTTTCCACCCTCGTCTTGGCTTCTAATCTCTTTCGTCTCTCCGCAAGTTCTACTCCATCTGTATCCTTCGCTTGACTTTGGTGGTGTTGTTGTGATTTGGGAGCAATTTACTGGAGGAGTTTGGATTGAATCAGTTGGACTATCGTTGCATGGTGGACCATCGGTTTGCTAACACTAAAGCAATACTACATAACCTACATTTCGATGCATGTGAGGAACCCGCTCTGACGGTTGTCTGAGGATAGCGTTGTTTTTTTATTTCCTTTGTTTCTTTGAATTCTCTTCTAGCTTTCGAATTTTGGATATTATAGATGATTGCCACTATTTGAAACAAGTTTGGTTTTAGTTCTGTTCTTTGTTCTCTTGTTCTTGGCTTTTTTAACTAGTAGCTCATTATTTTGTCTCTTCTTCTTCCCCTTGTCTATTCGTTTCCCGTGGATGGCTCTTGGGTTCCCGTGCCTTGGCTCCTTGGTTCCCACGGCTGCCTCCTTAGTTTTAGCGGTTGCCTCTTCAGGTTCCTCCTGGGCTGCTTTTCCGTGGCTTTGGTGCTTTGTTTCTTGTGTAGAATTAGGGAATATTATTAGGTGGCTGTTGGCTTTTCATTTCCCTCATTTATTTAAGAATTTGAAGAGTTTTTGGGGCTATTTGTATTCCACTCTTATGTCTATAAATAGTAGATGTTTTGTATCTGTTTTAGTATGTTATGTGATTGATTTTTGAAAAAGTGAACCTGCGAGTTTCTTCTTGGAAAAGCTTGCGAGCTTATTCCATTCTACTTCTCATCTCCTCTAGGAAAGACTTGCGAGTTCTTTCCACCCTTCGTCTTGGCTTCTAACCTCTTTTGTTTCTCCGCAAGTGACTACCCCACCTGTATCCTTCTTTTGGAAAGCAAGTTTAGGGTGTCATGTTTGAGTCAAGTTTGTAAGTCTTTGTTTGTAAGTTGTGTTATTATTAAAGTTGTGTTTTGTTTTGTTAAGTATATTTTGTCAAGTTTTTGAGTATTTTATGTATTTCTATCGTCCTAGAAATAGTGTCTTTTTGGGATAAAAAATTTGTGCCCCTCTCCCAAATTTTTGATTGCATCAATTTGGTATCAGAGCAAGTTAAGAAGTCATAGGTTTTGGTTTGCCAAGTCAAGTTTTATCATGTAAGTTTTGTTTTGAGTCATGTTGTCATTTGAGTCTTGGTGTCAAGTGAGCAATCTCAAGCCTTGGTGTCTCTTGATGAAACGCCTTCAGAACAAAGCTAACTCATCGGGAGATAAGTTCTCAAGAAGGGGAGTCTGATGTAGACAAAGGGGGGGGTCAAATCAAACCAAAAAAAAATGGTTTTGACTTCCCTTGAGCTTGCTAGCTCATTAATTTTTGAGCTAAGATTTAGCTCATTATGAGCTGGTTTTTAGTTCATTTATTGAACTAAGAGTTAGCTCATTATGAGCTACATTTTTAGATCATTTATTAATTTATTAGTAGCTTATTATTTTGTCTCTTCTTCTTCCTCTTGTCTATTCGTTTCCCGTGGATGGCTCTTGGGTTCCCGTGCCTTGGCTCCTTGGTTCCCACGGCTGCCTCCTTGGTTTTTGCGGTTGCCTCTTTGGGTTCCGCCTGGGCTGCTTTTCTGTGGCTTTGGAGCTTTGTTTCTTGTGTGGAATTAGGGAATATTATTAGGTGGGTGTTGGCTTTTCATTTCCCTCATTTATTTAAGAATTTGAAGAGTTTTTGGGAGTGTTTGTATTCCCCTCTTATGTCTATAAATAGTAGATGTTTTGTGGCTGTTTTAGTATATTATGTGATTGATTTTTGGAAATGTAAACCTGCAGGTTTCTTCTTGGAAAAGCTTGCGAACTTGTTCCATTCTCCTTCTCATCTCCTCTAGGAAAGACTTGTGAGTTCTTTCCACCCTTCATCTTGGCTTCTAAACTCTTTCGTCTCTCCACAAGTGACCACCCCACATGTATCCTTCTTCTTTTGGAAAGCAAGTTTAGGGTGTCATGTTTGAGTCAAGTTTGTAAGAGTCTTTGTTTGTAAGTCGTTTTATTATTAAAGTTGTGTTTTGTTTTGCAAAGTATATTTTGTCAAGTTTTTGAGTATTTTATATCTTTCTATCATCCTAGAAAGAGTTTGTTTTTGTGATAAAAAATTAGGGTCCCTCTCCCAAATTTTTGATTGCATTAATAAAAAGAGGAGAAATCGCTTATCGACATTGAGAATGAATTCACTGGTGTACATTATGTCAATATGAGACTCAGATATAGGAATTTGAAGAAAAAATGATTAATGGATGATGAAGATCATTTGCTTTGCGAGGATGTATCATCTGATAATAAGTGGTTTGTAGATGATGAAGTTGAAGTGATGCCGTCTGAATTACAAGATAAATATTTAAATGTTGATTTCTTTGATGGTCTTAAAGCATCTACATCCACCACAACTCAAGAACAAATCAAAAAAGTTATATAAATAATATAGTTTTCTTAGACTTTTATTAATGTATTACACTATTATTCATTATGATATTCTTCAAAAATATTTAGGGAAGAAGAGGATAATTGATAATGAAAAAGGAGCTGATTGGGAGACATTGGACTCTATAGGAGAGGAGGAAGAGGAGAGAGCAGTTCATCATAATGATGATTCAAATGAAGACCCACTTAGTGATGACTGATGAGTGATCGCAGTGCTGATGACTAGTGAGTTCTTATGTGATATGTCAATGTCATTGCTATTTATTTTGTGCATTTTTATATTTTATATATTATTTACTCATTAGTATATACAAAATTTATCATTTTATGTTTACGCAATTTTTTGATTTTGAGACTTACGCCTCGCCTCACGAACGAAAAACGCTTCAATACCCGATTACACAATTTTAAACCTTGAGTGAAGTATAAATGGTTTGAACAAAAACTTGCTTGCATTTTCAACTATATCATTCCAATGTTGGTGCTATAATTTGGATGATTTGTTAAATCCATATCAATTAAACTAATGCATTTTTTAGACAGTAAATCATGCATTTATTAAGCCGAAGCATACCATTCACACATATACATGTTATACTATAACTGCTGGACCTTTGCAGCATTCTCACTACCATGAAACTAGTCATTTAGAAAAATCTTACAGCCCATAAGGACCGTTGAGAATAAGTATAATATTCTTTTCCAGGACATTATATATTCTACCCATTCTAGTGTATTCGGTATCCTGAATGATTACTTAAAGCACTACAAGCATTTCTTTTCTTTTAATTGCCATATCTCCAAAAGACCAGTTCAGCCACTTTATCAGAAAATCAATTCAAACTAAAAGTAAAAATCCCAAAAAAAAAAAAAAGGATAAAGGCACTATGAAGGTGAAGGTGTAAAGCATGTGTTACCTTCTTAATGGAGGGGTCAAGCCACTCGTACCAACGGGCCTTGCATTGTTTTGCTGACTTGCGCACAAGAAGCGAAGATATCCGAGCCCATTGGTTCTTCCCATATTTCATAACCGCTGCCTTAAGAATTTCATCCTCAGTGTTCTTCCATACCCCTCCTTTTATCATAATCCTCATCCTGTCTCCTTTTCTTTGTTCCTCCTACTCCGATTTGCTGCTTGGATACAGGATTTATGCAGGATTTATGCTAAATCCTGCCAAAAAGGATTTAGGGAACCATTGAATCTCACAGCGAGTTAAACAGGACTTTGAATAAATATAATATTCTTTTTGCCCTAAATCCCGATTTACCAAATCCCGGAGTTCGGCGGATTTATGGGATTGGCCGAATAAGCGCGCGAAGGAAAGAAAGATGTCTACCTTCGCAAAGAGCAAGCTCCCGTCGTCGTCGTTACCTCCGATCGAACAGACGAACGGCGAGGAGGAGTGGATTTCGGATCCGACAGGATGGAACGTCGTCGAAGGATTCCAATTATTCAGCCACTCGTTCAAAACTCTACCTGTCAGGCGAAGGAGGCGAGCAACGGACAGTGGAGAAGTGAAAAAAGCAAACCTAGCAAATCAGCGGCTACAGAAAGGCAGCACAGAACAGAGAGAAGTATATAGCATATTAATTAAAATTAATTATGAATATATTTGATTAATTAATTAATAATTACTTAAATTAATTATTCTAATTATATTAGTTATAATGATTAGTTAGTAATAATAGTTAAAATTAGTAATTAAAATAGAATCAAAATTAAAATTAATAAATTATTTCAAAATTAAATTATTTTCTAATTATATTCTTTTTGTAATTATAATTTATTGATGATAATTATAATTCTGGGTTACATTTTCAAACAATTTTACAACATGATATAAATATTTCAATAAATTTTACTTCTAATTCCTAGTTATATTAATAAATGTTTTAATAATATATTATCTCCTCAAGCACGATATAAAATATAATCTTATATAAATATTTTATATCTTATTATTCTTATTTGAGAAAGAGATAGAAGGGCACGCACAAATAGAGAAAGAGCTTATGATTGCTTTACATGAAAAAATGCAAATATTTAAAATAGTTAAAGGATAAAAAAACTGCTTAGTTGAAAGACCCAAAATTATCTTAAATTTCTATAGTATAATAATTTTATAAAATTACTATAATAAATTACAAATATTCTTCATTTTTTTGAGAATTCATATCATGACAACAATTAGCTCTAAGTTTATTCAAATTTTGAAAAGCTTTTAACTTAAAAAAATCTTATGCTTCCTCAATATTTTCCTTAATATGAAAAAATTATTTTGTGCGGAACCCGGACGTATTTGGAGACCAATCAAAACATGTCACGTCACTTTTTAGCTCATACCGGTGCTCGGTACTGCTCGGTACCAGATAACGTGGCGTATTCTGGTTGATCTTCGGACGCCTTCTGGATCCGCATAGAATAATTTCTCCTTAATATGAGGCTTCTTCAAGCTTTAAAAGTATCTTTGACTAGCTAATAAAATATATCCCCTTATAAATCCCAGTGTTATGAATTCAATATAGTTGGTTAACTAAAATTTGAATTATTAGATAGATCAAGAAAAGAATTGATGGATCAAATTTAAATCTATCAAAAAAATGACAATGACATCTTACAATTTTTTATAAAAATATTTATTTTCTTAAGAGCAATAATTTATAACTAATATCTTACAAAAACACAGGCATGTATAAATCACAAAAAACTCCATGATGACCATATATTGTTAATTGAGCTACATGCAAAAGATTATACCTTAGAGCGATTGAACATCTGAAAAATATTGCAAAAAGAGCTGATTGCGGCCTAATTAATTGGTGAACCGAACGTGCTGGTCCCCATAGGATTTGCAATCACATGCTGGGCCATCACATAATGAGGATTAATTATTCTGTCCGGATGCCAATCGTCGTCCAGAGATCAACAAGAATGTGTCACATCACCTCTTGCTCGATACCACTCGATATCGTAGCTCGATATTGCTGACGTGTCACATTCTGGTTGGTCTCTAGATGGGGTTCTGCGTCCGATCTCCGCACAGAATAATTTCTCTATAATGATGGAGAAATTGATTCAGCCTGCCTAAGTGCTTTCAAATTTATTCATTATGTAAAAAATGTTATTCCATCATATAAAATTTTGCCATCTCAACAAAGGACAACTTACATTCTCTTATGTTGTAAGATTGTTTCTTTTGCTATATCAAACAAATCTTTACCTTCGATCACTGCATTAGCCGCAGGTTCAATGTTCAATAATGTAGCAGAATGTGCATAGTAAATATGCAGAATATAAGAGAGGGCAATACACCAAATTTTATTCAATGAGGGAATAAATAGAACCAATGCACATTTTGCTCAGCAGAAGATTAAAGAATCAAGTATTTACTATTTACTCTTCTATGAAGAAGAATACCTGATCAATCTCCAAAATTAATAATCAAAGCCAACTCAGGATGTTTTGCCATGCAGCTTTTCAGCTAGTCATCTCTTAATAATATGTCATTTTCAGGAGAAATTATTATGTGCAGAATTCCGACGAGACCGTCCAGATTCGCCGCGTATTTGTAAACACTCAGTTGTGAATATTGCCAAGTATTTACTGAGTATTTACGGAGTAGTTATAAATACTCAATAAATACGTAACAATCTGGACGGTTCTTCCCGTCCGGACTCCGCACAGAATAAGTTCCCCATTTTCAGGCTAAATCTATTTGAGAGAATTATCTGAACATTGTCTTCTTGATGTAGGAGTGATAAATTTTAACATTTTGGCAGTAACTTATAAGATATTTATCAACTTAATTAACTGATAGTAATGAAATATAACTAATTAGTACTATTACGCATAAACATGGATCAACACAGAGAAAATAACTGATAATTTTTTGCACAATGAATTGACATAAAAAAAAAAAAACTCAATGGCTCCATTCTCAACCTTCACATCCAATCTCCTAAAATGTTTCAAAGTAGTAATACGCAATTCAAGCTTTTCTAAGAAAAGATTTCTCCTTATAGAGCGAGAAATACCTTCTCTGGACTTCTGTGGACTGTGGGATCTTAATTGTTAATGGGCAAAAACCAAAACCAAATAGGATACTCTAAATTTATGGAGCATGTAGCTTCATAACTTGCGTAACAATAAGAAATTAATCGTACTTCTGCTGCATGTATATCATTTAAATATTACCTGTTCTAGCATTATTTGTCTCTCATCTCCCTTTCTAACTTCCACTCATCCTTAGTGATATTAATGAGATAAAAAATCATTGAAACCACTCAATGCACTCATAATTCTAAACAATTAATCAAAAAGAGACCATGTTCTCAACAAAAAATTTTCTCTGGCATCCAATATGAGATAAAAGCATGTGCTCATAATTACTTTTGAGAAATAATACAAACATTTGGTGGTTTAACAAAACTTGCACGAATTGCATTCCTAAATGTACAAGATGTGCAGCAGATAAGAGCTCAAACACTTTAAAAAGACCCCCAAAAAAATTCATGATGTTAATCTTCATGTGTCAAACCCTCTCATGATGGAGAAATTATTCCGTGCGGAGATCGGACAGGAAGTTCCCTTTAGAATTGTGACTGTACACACTGTTTGTACATAGATGTACACAATTGTGTACAAAAATTACACTCAATGTACATAGTGTGTATACTCACAGTCCGGAAAGGAACAGCCCGTCCGAACTCCGCACGGAATAATTTCCCCTCATGATGATGCACACTAAGGTGAAGAGAAAGGGCTAAGTGGATCCAAACGGGACAAGCACAGTGTATCTAAGAGCGATTACAATAATGTTAAAAAAGTTTAAAATTGAAAATGCTAGATAGAACATAATAAAACACCAAATTCATTCAACGAAGCTATATGTCAAACAAAAAACAATTTTTCCCAGTAAAAGAATACCAGAATACAAGCATGGGTCGTTATTAGTTGCGAAGTGAAAATGTAAGAAGATCACACCTGCAAAAAGTTCAGAATGACCACCTCACTAGAAAGAATTTTTGCCATATTTGGCTGAGGTTATAATATTTAAGGCCATCCCGAGTCTCATTTCAGATCAAGCGCTGAGGTTAATAATTGGGATCAGCTTATGATGTCAATTGTCGGATTCTCCAACTCTGTCAGTTATGGTGGTGCAGCAACTTCTATAAACCTGAAAGACTCAGACAGGAAGAGAAAACAATCAGAGATACTGTAATCTTGACATTGTATTAATGGGAAAAACTGTATTTCGTTATCATGCCATCACTATATATGTATGCACTAAGTAAACCATGTAATTATATTTGGTAAATAGAGTAAAAGTAAATGTAAATTGCAGTACTGTTAAAATAGAAAAAGAATAAAAATAGTTAACAAAGGTAATTGGAAGTAGCCCAGCGATAACGTGTCTCTCGGTTGTCTCTTGGTTGTTGTAATCCACATCAGGTCTCTCCTGCTTCCGAAGGACTCATCTCCGAATGTCCGCCTGCTGTTTGTATTTGGAATTGGTTTCAGCTAGTTTGGATTGGATGGTATTTAGCATATCTAAAAAGTGTTCCACAGTATGGGTAGCTGTGGTAATTTTGCATTTTGGTAAAACTGCTATGTCCACTAGCTGATTTGGCATTTTAGTATATACAACATTGAATAAGCTCCAACCAGTTGAACAATTTGGCATAACATTGAAAGCAAATTCAGCCTGACATAGTAATTCTTCCCATTGTTTAGGATGTTGCTGCGCCAAACAGCGAAGCATAATTCCCAAAGTGCGATTAACTACTTCAGTTTGGCTATTCGTTTGGGGTTGATATGCATAACTAAGTTTAATATCAGTTTTAAATCTTTTCTACAATTCTCTCAAAAATGACTGACAAATTAAACATCGCGATCAGACGTAATACTACAAGGTAGTCCATGTAAACGAACAATTTCTTTAAAGAACGAATGAGCTATATGTAGAGCATCAACGGTTTTCTTGCATGGGATTAAGTGGGTCATTTTTGAAAATTTATCAACTACAACCATTATAGAGTCAGTGCCTCTTTTGGATCTCAGCAAACCCAATATTAAATCATTGCTAATGTCCTCCCAAATGGAATCGGGAATGGGTAGGGGCAGGTAAAGGTTGGTATTTTGAGCATTTCCCTTATAGGTTTGACAAACGGAACATCGATCAACAATTCGATAAACATCACCATGCATATGAGGCTAATAAAAATGATATTGGAGATGGGTTAAAGACTTATCTCTATCGACATGAGCGGATAGTCCACCACAATGCACTTCTTTGATGAGTTGTTGTCTCCATGAGGATTGAGGAATACAAAAAGTGAGACCTTTAAATAAAAATCCATGAAGATATTGAAGTTTGCGGTTGGGGATATAGTGGAATAGAGAGCCCACGGTTCAAAAAAGTCCACATCAGTTTGGTATAACTCTTTCATCTCCCGCAAAACAGTAACTTTTGTTTGTAGTTGCGTGAGCAAGGCAGCACGACAACTTAGAGCATCAACTACTCGATTCAATTTTCCAGCTTTATGTCTAACTACGAAGCTAAATTTTTGCAAGAAAACAATCCACCGTGCATGCATTCAGTTAATTTTTTATTATTATTAAGATATTGCAAAGTTTAATGGTCACTACAGAGTACAAAATTCTGTTGGAGTAAGTAATGCTCCCATTGTTTCAATGTCTGAACGACTGCATACAGCTCTTGCTCATAGCCTGACCATTTTTGTCGCGGACAACTTTATTTTTCACTAAAATATTCAACAAATCTATCCCCTTGTGACAATACAACCACAATTCCCACGGATGAGGCATCAATATCAAACTAGAATGATTTATTAAAATCCAGCAAAGCCAACACTGGAGCAGTACTAAGACCTAATTTGATAGTATCAAAGCTATGTTGTTGGGTTGTAGACCTACTGAATGTCAACGACTTTAAGCAGACAGTAATCAGACCATGATAACACTGAATCCTCTAATGAATCGCTTATAGAAGTTTGCCAACCCATGGAAGCTTCTAACATCAAAAATAGATTTCGGTGAAGGCCAATCCTAAATGGTGGAGACTTTACGAGGATCCATACTAACACAATTTGGGGATAGAAGAAAACCTAGGAAATACACTGTTGGTGGAGAAATCAAATTCAGACAGATTTAGGTATAACTGATGAACCCAAAGGCTTTCCAAAATCTGCTTTAAATGGTGAACGTGATCCTAAGAAGGACTTAATATAAGAAAATCATCAAAATAAACAATGCAGAATTTACCCGTAAATGATTTAAGTACTTCATTAGTCTCATAAATGTTGAGGGAACATTACAAAGCCCCTTTCCATTCATACAAACCTTCCCGGGATTTGAAAGTTTTCTTCCACTCATCTCCTAGTCTTATACGTATTTGATGGTAGCCATTTCGCAAGTTTAACTTTGAAAATACTGCAGATCCAGCAAGCCTGTCTAATACATTTGAAATGCGAGGTATTGAGAAACGATATTTGACAGTGATCTTATTGATAGCTCAGCTATCTATACACATACGCCATTGCTCATCCTTTCTGGGGACGATTAATGCAGGTACTGCGCAAGGGCTTAAGCTGGGTTAGGCAGCACAGCCACTGGAACTAGTTCAATATTGTGCTGGATATTCCGCAGAGGAGTTAGCTGGGGTGATAACTCAGATGGACAAACTGATGAGGACATCCACCGTACATTTCGACATCGGCAGGATCGTAGATCGATGGCTACGATTCATAGTTTTTATTTATGTGTTTTAGTGCATTTCTTTTATTTAATTTTCAGTTTTCTAATTTCACCCCTATGAGGGATTTGTGTCATGTTATAGCCTGAGGGCATTTGTGTCTTTTACATTTTGTGCTTTGGAGGCCTATATATGAAGGCCTAGTCTTTGTATTATTTTGAAATGTGGATGAATGAAAATTTCGCCTTGTTGATCTCTTTGTGAGTTCGTGAAATTTCTCAAGATCTCTTTGTGAGTTCTTGGGGAGGTAGTATTGTGGATCTTTTGTGAGTTCTAGTATATGTGGTACTTGAGGTGATTAGCTCCCTAGCTCTTCAATTTTCTTCTCTTATTTTCCTAGAAGTGATTTTCCCCTCCCCATAACCGCCCTTGCCGCCGCCCCTCCTTGGGCCGCCCAAGCCGCCGGCCCCCATCCGCCAACCACCCAACTGCCGGCCTCCCTCCCCCATCCTCCCCTCTCCACGTCTCTAGTCGCTGGCCCCTCTTGGGGTCACAATTTTGAAATTCAAATTTTCCCAAGGGCATTGATGACTTTCCTTAAATAACTCCATGATTTTAGGCAATCTTCATAATTGAATTTCAAATCAAATTTGAAATTCAAACAGATTCCAATTAATTGCCTTAAATTTGGAAACTTCCCCTTCATAAAAAAATCTGAAATTTAATTTAGATTTTCTTTAAATCTTTGATTAGTGTGTGGGCCCCACTTAATTAAAACCCAAACCCCTCTCTCCAATACATGTGGCCGCCCACCCCCCACCCCCCTTCCTTGGGCTTCTCTCTTTCAAATTGAATTAATTGCCCCTCATTAATTCCTCTTAATTACTGACAAACCGCCGGCCCTATTATGGGATTAAATTGATTTTTCAATTTAATTCTCCCCATCCCCACTTGATATGTGAATTTCAAATCAAATAGTTTTCCCACCAATTTCCCTTAAAACTGAAATTAGTTTCAATTTTTCCTTAATCCATCCAAAATCTAATTAGACCAAGCCATCCACACGGCTACCTCCTCCCTCTCCTTCTAGCTCACGGCCAAGCCCCTCCCCGCCCCAAACCGCCACTTCCACCTCTCCTCTCCCAGTTGTCTCCATCGGTGCTCCTTCATCTCCCGACAAGGATGCATGGCGGACCCAGAAGTTGATCACAGATTCGTTTACGATTCTCAAGAGGAAGTCGACATCATTCAATCACCGTTCTTCGATCCCGGATTTGGGTCCGAAGGCACCGTCGAAGAATACGTGGAACGTATTCTCTTTACTTTGGCGGACGTCATCAAAGAGCAACAACCTACAAGATCGTGAAAGATCGCAGGACGATCACCCGTCTCTCCAACTCCGGCCAACTCTCCGTTGATCAAAGCCTCTGGCATCCTCTGTCTTGCAGTGGCATCACTGGGCTTGCTAACTTTTGTCCTCCACTAAACCTACTTCCAAAGAACTATCAAGAGGGAAACTCTAAGGTGAAAGTTCTAATTGTTAAGTCGTGGATTATTGTTAATTGCATATTTGTTTACTATTTTCTTGTCATTATTTCGGATCGCTCTGTTAATCTAACGTGTAATCGCATGCTAGAAGCAAGTCAATAACTACGAAAATTGAAAATCCTTAGTGAATCATTAATGCTATAATTTCATTGCGGCAACGAATTTCTTAATAAAATCCTGCAATTCGTTTGTTGTATCACATCACAAACATCAGAAAATTCACTCAACAATTGCTGTACTTCTGTAGAAATTAATGCAGAATCTGAAATTTTATGACTGTCAGCAACTACCAAAGCTAAAACGGAGCTGCAATTCATTCTGGACTGCAAGAAAGGCCAGACCGATACTATGCATGCAACACTGTTTTCTTCGCCAATCTGAAAAATTGGCTCCATCTGTCGGGTAGCAATCTGAATTGACGCCCCTTCCAGGCAAACAAAAATACGTATTAGACATCCATTCGTGAGTGGCACGATCATAAAATTGGCAAGGGCGTCCCAAGATGATGTGGCACACATCCATATCCAACACATCACTGCTAACTTCGCATACATAATGTTTCACAATCGAAAATGTGACACAACACATATCTGAAACTAAAATTTCAATGCCCTTTTTTATCTAGCTTATCTTGTAAGGATGAGGATTTCTTATCGTTTTGAGTTGTAAGGCTTGTACAACATATCGAGAAATGATGTTCTCAGTGCAGCCGCTATCAATGACTAAGTCACAAACCATTCCGTTGATAGTACAACGAGTTCTGAGCAGGGCATTCTGTTGAGAGAGAAGTAGTTGACGAGGAGTGAGAAGTAATTTTGTACTATCAACGGGAAATTCAAATTAAATCAAGAAGAAGGGGCGGCCAAGAGAGGGGAATTGGGGGCTGATTTTGTGGAGTTAATAGGGTGATTAGGAGAGAGAGAGGAGCCCAATGAAGGGGCCGGCCAAAGAGAGAGAGAAAAGGGAGGAGGGGTTTTAAGCAAGTGGGGACCACAAGCTTAATTTCAGAATTTTACAAAAATCTGAAATTAAAATTTCAGTTTTAATAATGGACGGAGGTTCCTAAATTAACACAATCAATTGGATTGAATTTGAATTTTGAATTCAAAATTCAATTTCAATTTATTTTGATTACATGAATTAAGGGGACAATTTATGAAACATTTAATGGACAATGAAACTCCTAAATTTCATATTTGAAAATTGAAAGAGGCGGGGGAGAGGAAGGCGGCGGCAAGGTGGGAGGGGACCGGAGGGCTGGAGCTGGCCGGCGGCTGCTAGGCGGAGGATGGGCCGGAGGGAGGAGCTTTGCAGGCCGGCGGGTGGGCTGTGTAAGCCGGCGACCTGGCTGGCTCCAAAGGGGGCGGCGGCACTAGGGTGAGAGGAGGAAAAACATAAAGAAAATCTGAAAAAAGTCTTCTTGCTTTGACTTCCTCACCTCGAATCTCGTCAAAACTCTACCTCCACACAATAATCTTGGACTAAATCTAGAACTCACGAAGATATCTAGTTCTCCCTTTTGAACTCACTGAGAGATCAAAGGGGAGTGCACTCATAAAGAGAACAAAGGAGAATATTTTTCATTTCAACAAAAACTAAAACTTTTACAATACATCATGCCTCATATAAGGAGGCCCAAAATAATAAAACTGAAAAGATAGGAACGCCCTCTGGGCTACATAAACGAAACTAATGCCCTCAGGGGCAAACCAGGAAAACTAAAGAAAATACACATGACATAAGCAGCAAATAAATCAGAAGTAGAGACTCTGGATCGTAGCCGCCGATCTGCGTCGTCAGCGATGGTACACGTGTCGAAATCAGATGTCCCCATCAAGTTGTATCATTCTGAACCTACTACAAACATGTCCCTTGTTATGTAGAAATTGTAGCCACCAAGCACCAACACCCCCCTTTAAACAATAGGCCACATACTTAACTTGCTTCTCAGGTTCAATTTTCACATATTCAAAGAAATTTTCAACAGCTCACTCCCCATCCAAATAGTCCTCAACGTGTAAACGACCTTCGAAGAAGGGATGTCTAATTTACACGAAACACTGTCTATTCTCAATGTTGTCAGCCTTGTGTTAGACCGGTCCACTGGACCGGTCCAACCTGTCCCGTGCGAACTGAGGCGGATGTTCCACCTCCTGTACAAGCCGCACAAGCCGACTGGTTCCAAAGAGCATTTTTGAAAGGAATTTTGAGGAATTTGAGAGGGAAATTTGAATGTAGGGGCTGTTTAGGGATTTCCTTTTGATTTGTATGCATTAAATAATTTGTTTTCCTATGGTTATGGGATCTTGAATTTGGCTGAATTTGGGATCTCTTAGATTTAGGTTTCCTTTGGGCTTTAGCGGCGTCTAAAGATTTGGGAGAGATCGATCCTCCTCTCGAATAGAGGATCAACTGTATCTTTCTGTTTTTTTTTTTTTTCTTCTTCTTCTACAACTGAATTTCAAGTGTGAAAAGGGATAAGATTTTATTTGGGCAAGCAATTTATGCAGTATGTAATATGTAGTACGTCCTACTTAATTCTGAAAGACAAGTTGGACTCATCGGTATTAAAAACAAGAAGATTTCTGGCATACAAGCTGAAGATATATTATGCTGCTCTGTTCTAAAAGATTTCCAGTATACAATTTGACTGTTTAAATAATTTAAATGAAAGAAATCAAAGTTCCTTAATCTCTTTAATGGCTCCACCAATGTAACATCCTTAAATTTCCATAAAAAGATTAGCTACAGGATTAAATTGATCGCAGTACTTAGTATTTCCATTTTTTTCAAAAAGAAAAAAGAAAAGAAAAAGTGTTTTAAACAACACAAAGCAATCTGCTACTGAAGTGGAAAAGATAATTAAACTGAAATTCATAAAGATGCAAGTGATTGTGATATGATCAAATTTTATAAGTTACCTCAAAATTCTCCATGGCAGACCCTGAATTGAAGATGAACTTTGTTCATAGCTTCTGCATCAAACAGGAACATACAACGCTCAACATGTGACTAGTAATAAATTATCTAAAGAAAAGAGAGCCTGTGAATAAGCTTCTTGATCTCAGGGAAAGTAATGTATCCACAAATTGGGGAATGCGAACAAATAAACAGGAAAACTGCCTTGTCCTCGGGATTTGCGAGTAAAATGGAAGTTCTATACTGCATTCGTTCAAAAATAATTAGCTACATAATAGAAGCTCTGTAATATTGAAGCAATTACACTCTAAAACACTTACAGATTAGTTTTGCCACCCATGTATACATCATGAGTTCTTTATAAAATATTATAGACAAAAAACATTCATTTGAACTATAAACTGCTTCTATTCTTTAGCTGTAACTAGGTGACAATAAAGATCAATTATACAGTCAAGATGAGCTCATTTGTTGAGAAATTGCTGTCATCAGCTTCTCCTTCATTTCCTGCTCAGCACCTGCCAGGGATTTCACAACAAAGGTGTGCAAGACTTTGTCATCCACAGTGGACACCTTGGACTCCATGACACTAACTTGAGATTCCTTTAATGCTTGAATGACCCTGGAAACAGGGTGAGCGTCTATAGGACAGCTAACTCTTACAATTACCTCTTCATGTGAAGTTTCCACCTCAACATCTGGAGTCCACTTCTTATGATCGATCAAAGAGGGCTCCTTTTCAGAGTCAATCTCCTTTAGCTTATTCTGGAGCTCAGTGATGTAGGCAATTGCATCACCAAGCAACGAGGCTTTATCCATTTTGGAGATGTTAGGCACTACAGCTCTTAGTGCATAGAACCTCTGGTTCAGCTTCTCCCTCCGTTGCCGCTCAGCCTCGACATGGTTGAGAGGCTCCTCCCTTCCATTTGCTGGCTTCCTGCCCCTCTTCCTTGGCCTCCGTTTATCAATTATGGAGGGCTTTTCTTCCTTACAAGAAGCCTCCGTATCAGAAAGCTCTGAATCCAATGCCCCAGGTCGGCCAACAGAAGAGCTCCCACCACCAGAGAAATCAATCTGCCTTGTGGGTGGTGGTAGTGGCTTCTGAGGCTGGATTTGAGGCAGCCGATGGTCATCCTTGATTCCACTAGCCTGATCTGCACCTCCCACCATGATAGCCGCATTGCCAAATTTGTGTTGCTGAGAACCAAAGCTACGCCCCATACTCCAAGTCAGAGCCTTTCTGTTGCCAACAAGACCAGTGCTGCTCTGACGGATCACCAATGGCCTCTCCTCAATCTTCCCAGTGGAGAATTCCGATCGTCCAATATTCAAGTCATTTCCGAATATAATTGGCGACTGTTCAGATCTCCCAATGAATCCAAAATGGGGAAATTGGGGCCTTCCAACTTTATTTTCCACTCCACCAGAAGTAGATCCCTCAAAAAACAAGGATCTTATAATCCGCAACTGTTCGAAGCTCTCCTGGATGACATTCACAGACCCTAATTCGAGAACCCCAGTTGCGAAGGGCACAAGAACGATGGTCTGGAATCCAGCCGCCCTCGCGAGAAATGCCCTAACACAGTAATTAGTAGCCGATGCCCATGCAGGATTTCCGGCAAGCAGCACGCGGCCAGGTGCACCCTCTCCTCGGGGAAACGCGAAGTACATGGAAGCAAGAAAAAACATCTCAGCGTCAGTAACTCGGTCAAGCCTGACAGCATAATTCTCATCATCGGAGCCTCCGTAGACCAGATGGAGTTTCTCCAGCACGCGCTTCATCTTCTTCTGGTGTGCCACTTGGGCAGGGGAAGCATAAGCTTCGAGCTCCTCCTCGCCTTCGTGGGGCTCACGGAGGTGCCCATCACCCCAGCAGAGGACGACGTCACCAGATTTTGACCGCGAGATCTGCCAGAAGATGGCGAAGGACCAGCCGGCGCCGCTGGGACCTTCCACGAGGTCGACGAGCTTGTTCTGGAGATTAGCGTCGTTGCCAATTACAGTGATGAGTCCGTCGGACGAGGGATGACTTTTAGTGAGGTAGTCGAAAGCTTGGGGCCCAAGGACGGCGACTGCCATCGCACGATCCTCTTCCGACCAGAAGGCCCTTCTGACAATATCCTTTTTCATCGCTCCCGATTTCCAAAAACGAGATAAACGTTTCAGAACCGAAATAAACCCACGAAATCAAGGGTCTCTATAGATCTCGCCGCTCCTCACGAGACAACAATTCCCATTTTGGAAAAACTGACGAACCAACAACACAAAGATGCGCATGGGTCTTTAATTGGTATTATCCTTTTTCAGATCTAAATCCCCCCAAAGTGGGAGAGCTGCATGCAGAGCTGAAAGCAACAAGAAACCTGTTAAGAGAAATGAGAGACTGAAGTCCCTCCCCTCTTCCTCGTCCGCTTCCTAATTTGCTACAGGCAACAAATCCAACTAGGGTTAGCTTTGTTCACTAGCCTTACTTGCGGAACCTGAATGCTTTGGAGGTCGTGTCGATCACCCTTCGACGGCAGTTAAGAAAGGCTTAGCCATTGTTGGCCGAGCCGGGTCGCTCGCCGGCGGTCAGGATGGTCAGGTTAGATAAGTAGTGGAGCCGGGATTTACGTGAGAGGAACACGTGGTGGAGATCGAACGGCGATCCGGCGGACTCAGTATCCAGGGACTGGGCGTGGACCCATTCGGCCGCAGCAAATTACGCCTTGGGAGTGCGTAGTTTGTGGGAACGTGAGTGAACCTAGAAGATGCAGTTCATCTTGGTTTATTAGTCGTAAATTTTGGCTCATCTAAAAAATTTGGAGTTTAAAATTTATGTGCATAAGTTTAATTTAATCGACTCAAGAGTAAAATAAAGGGACATCAAACCTCATTGCAATTATAAAAAGTGTAAAGGAGCATAAAAGGCAGTGTTGCATCGATAAAAAGATAGAGAGCAAAGCTCTGAAGGTTCGAGGAAGAAGAGCCGCAACATCAAATCAAGTGTCATACGATCAAATTAACAAGCGCCGGAACGGTTGATAGTTACTGATTGTTGAATCAGCAAATCTATGCTATGACTGGTGAACCGACACGTTGATCTAATAGCACCAATGTGTACTCGGGTAAGTTTTGCGGCGCCTATTCAGTTTTTTGTAAAAATTATAAATAATTAAGTTTATCTCTTTTGGTGATTCGTTGTTGTTGGGGGAAAGTGTTGTTCTAGGTGAGGGAGGGTTGCAATAGTAGATTATTGTCTACAGTCTACTAAAAGAGAATATATAAGCTTTTCAAAAAGAACTTATTAGTAATATCTTTCATTAATATACTTAATATAATTTTATTTTATTATAAATGAATAGTGTTTTATTTATTTTAATTTCTATGGTTAGCGAAATCACATATTTGTGCTTATAATATGTTAAAAACTATATTTGTTTTGAATTATATTTTGAATTCTATAAATTTTTTAATGTTATTTTTAAATCCTTCATACTTAATTTAGTTTATATATAGGTCTTGTATAAACTAAAAACATAGTGTGATACATAGCCTTGAAATAGGATTAGTGAAACAATTATGTGATTTAAAACAAAATTCTACCATGTATAAACACATGGTAAATAGAGTCTTAGAATCATAAGGAGATATAATCACCATAGTTGAGAAAAATCTCAGCCGGACACCTCAACAAGCTCTCAAAGATGAGGAGTACTAATGTTATGATTCACAATAATGTAAAGAGAAATCTAATTTTTGTATTCATTAAGTATAACTATTATATGTTCATAATCATTTAAAAATAGGATTTTAAATTTCAATACTTAGTTGTATTGTGGGTTGAGATAATTGTTATAGTAGAGTGAAGGATTTTACGTCCTAGTTATGCATGAAAATTCAATATACAAATAAGAACCTGAGGAGACAAATGACACCAATTTTTTTATGTGGAAAACTCTAAAAAGAAATAAAAACCACTTTAACCATGTTCGGTCGATTGTCAAATATGTATAATGGTCCTCGAGCTGGTTGAAGCTTTTCTCTAGCCAAACCCAGACTGAGAATGTAGAGTTGAATAAAATGTAAATAGAACTTCCATTATCAATAAGGATTCTTTTAACATTGTAGCAAGGATCACCAATGTCAGCATTGATAATAACTGGATCTTGGTGTGGGGTATGAATCCACTTTATATTAGAATCATTAAATGTGATGGAATGATTATCTCAAGATTTTTTTTAACGCTGATTCTCCTAGGGCAGTGAGGAGAACTTGAGAGGACATTAGGGGTCCTCTAATAATCAATTTCTCCATTCATTTGATTATTATTTTATTATTATCATTGTTGTTGTTCATTATGCCCCCAAGTATAATTAGTTCCATTTCGAGTAGGTGGATTTTGAGTGAACTGATCTAAGTATCCTTACTGAATCAACCTCTCGAACTCTTTTTTCAGTTGTTTAAAAGCTTCAATAGTATGTCATCGACTTCAATGAAAGTGACAATAATACTTCTGATTTCTTGTGTTTGGACTTAATAAATTAGAATCATTAAATGTGATGGAATGATCATCTCAAGATTTTTTTTAACACTAATTTTTCTAGGGGAGTGAGGAGAACCTGAGAGGACATTTGGGATCCTCCAATAATATTTCAATTTCTCCATGCATTTGATTATTATTTTGTTGTTATCGTTATTGTTGTTGATTATGCCCCTCGGTATGATTAGTTCCATTTCAAACAAGGTAGATTTTGAGTGAACTGATGTAAGTATACTTACTGAATCAACCTCTCGGTCTCTTTTTTCAGTTGTTTATAAGCTTCAATAGTATGTCATTGACTTCAATGAAAGTGACAATAATACTTCTGATTTCTTCTGTTTGTACTTAATAGATTAGATCATTTAATATTTTTTCTCATTCTGAATACTATTAGAATGTTCGCATGAGATGTACTTATGGGGGTATGCTTTTTCATAGGCTTATATTCATGATTTTGCTGAGAAGGTCGAGGTAAAAGTTTCTTATTTCCTTTTTTATTATATTTTATTTGTTATGATTTTTGGGCACCACATATTTGCCCACTATTTTTCTTATTAGGAGATTGCTCAAATTATTTTTTATGGCCATTAATAGCTTCGTCTACAATAATTTGTACTTTTACTCTATAAATAAAATCAACATAAGAACGGATGGTATCTCACATTAATGAAGAGTAAAATTGTATATGACAATGTCCTCCAAGAAAAATACCTAGCTCATAGTAACTCAGGATCCAATAGGATTTAGCGGGGTTTCAAAGAAATTCTTTTAAAAAATTATTTTTTAAGGATTCTCCTTCATTATGGCGGATTCCAAAAAAATGTGAATAATCCTTAATTATTCTTTGGTTTACAATAAATTGTTTGATAAAAAGTCTCGCAAGATGTGTTAAATTATGGATAATATTTCTTGGTAAAGAATAAAAACAAGTATGAGCTTGACCCTTTAGAGTGTTGAATCTTGATTAGGTTATTAAACATAAGCTAATGTCTCAAGGCTAACCAAGAGGGGGGTGAATTGGTAATTTTAAAAAAAATTTCTTGTATTTAAGATTCGTAGTAAGTTAATTAAAGTTTAAAAATAACTTTTCAACCACATAATAAAAACTTGCAGTAAAGAAAATGTGGAAATTTAAATGACAAAGATTTATAGTGGTTCGATCAAACACGACCTACATTCACTATATGAAGACTCCATCTTCAGGTTTTGTACTATTACAAAAAATGTCTCTCCTTTTGCCCCCATAGTAAGGCGGAGAAGCCTTTATAAAACTCTCTTCCACCAATCCCCGGTGCGGAAGATAACCATCATCCTTTCACACTCTTCAAGTGTCGGCAGAGAACCGTCGATTGTTCACACTTTTCAAGTGTAGGTAGAGAACCATCGTTCTTTTACACTTTTCAAGTGTTGGCAGAGAACCGTCGGCTGTTCACACTCTCCAAGTGTCAGCAAAGAACCGACATTCTTTCACACTCTCCAACTGTCGACAAAGAACCAGATCTTCTTCAAAGATCTTCTCACGAGTAATCTAGAAAGACAAGAGGAAGAGTAAAAAACATAAATCACACCGAGACCATTACTTTTGAGTAACATTGTGAATCCTTCACACTCCATTTGTAAGAAATCTCTATCAAACACTCTCTCTTTCAATTGCCCTTGAAAAATCATGAAGACAAGACTTTTTTACATCAGTTTTAGTGGACCTTTTATACAAAAGATACGAAAAAACTATCCAGAAAATTAAAATTTTCAATTTTGAATGTACGTGATCATACATTACGATCGTATTTCATACGTATGAATAGTTCAAAAACTGTTGAATACGAACCTGTTGTGAATCAATACAAAATCATTTCATACCTTATCATCGTCCGATACAAACCATGTTCATCTAGGATGAATAGTTAGAAAATTTTCAAATTTCATTTTAATCTCCCCCCCTATGTGTGTGCATAATTAATCAATTACAATCACACTTTCTCAGACTCAATAAAATTAAAAATACAAACTTTATATATAATAAACTTTAAACTGATTTGATTTGAAGTCTTCAACAATCCGGAGTATGATTTCCTTGAAACGTTAGTACACACAAATAACAAAGCAGTGTATGCAAATATGTTAGGAGAAATAATAATTAAAACAATAATATTTGAAATCATAAAAAATAAACATATTGCTAGAATATCAATAATAAATAATTAAGTTGCAACTATCTCAATAGAAAGTAGCAAGAAAAACTTGTCACAAAAGCATATCAGAGTCTCGTTGCATATGCATGATAATCCTATACCAAACCATGTGCTTATGCTTATAGATAAGTTGACCCATCATAAAAATCCATAGTGGGTAATTTGAATCCTTTTTGGTGATGATTAAATTAATTTTTATCCCTTATTGGGAATTCTTCTTCTTGGAAAAGACATCGTATCTCTTCTCGTATAACATCACGAGCAGTGTCTATGAGTCGAGGTCGAGTCAACTCTAATAGAGCAGGTGGAGGATTTTTACATTTAGTGAGCTTTGTGAGGAGGATAGGTTGAACTTCCAGCTTCATCAACTTCTGGATTTGATTGTAAGGAGAAACACCAGCATACTAATGAGGGTGTTCTTAATGAGTATCTTCAAATTGTCTACCCATATTGTGTGATGATATTATGGGGAATGAACTCCATTATTCTATGATGAAACACTTTGTTGTCAGTCCTCTTCCAAGAGTTATAAAATTTTTGCTTTATGTTCTTCCATCATTCAAATTCTAGTTTTGAAAGTTAAAGATCTGGGCACCCCTCCTCCCAGATTATGACATCCATGCTTGCTAGATAGGTTCCTAGCTTAGTGAGAGGAACAAGAAAGTTTGTTATTAGTTAATTTGATTATCCATTGGAGAAGAATATTAGAAAAGTATTATCATAGATGGTGTCAAACTATTGTGGACTGAGAAAATCGTGATGGTGAAGTACAAAGATTTTATGTTCCAGCTATGCATGAAAATTCAACATACAAATATAAATTTGAGGAGACATAAAGACACCAAAGTTTTTATAT